AAATGGGACTGCAAAAAAGTGCGGAAGAGAAAGATTTATGTCTTTGGCAGAAAAAAAGGAACACTAAAATGTTTTAAGACTTCTGAAATTTAATACTTAGTACAGTCATATTATTTGCATTATTGTTTCTGTTCTTTTTCATTCTTTTAAGGAACATCTGTAAGGTAAGGGCATTACCAGTAACCTAATGATTTAGCTTAGCATGATATACTTGGAGGAAAAGCTGTAAGTTTTCTTTTTACTTTAAAATTTAGTTATGGATATAAGGGTAGAGTTTTGCTCCTTCTGAGAGGACACATTTGATCAAAACTGAAATTGCTGATTCATGGTACAGACACAAGCTGCTTTACCAGTGGATTTTAAAAACACAGTAAATCACAGGACACCCTACAATGTCACTGCTTTATGGTTTCCAGCAAAGCTACAATGAGTATATTCTCTGTTGATTCAAGGTGTCATTTTCAGAGAAAGGTAGCCTGGACTTCTTTTGTGTTTATCTATAAAGTTAGGGCAAATTTTCAAAAACATCTTTAAACTTGACATGAGAAGACATTGGAAGAAATTAAATATAAAACAATTTACATATTTTTAAGTTGGTTGAATGCTTTAATGATTTCAAAGTCTTGTGAGCTTTCCCAACAATTCCTAAATTTCCATAATCTGCTGTTTATTAGTTGGGACTAGATATCATTCCTCTTTCCCTCTGACCTCAATAGCAGTAGTTGCCACCTAGATAAATTGTCAAATTCTGAAAGTTGAATTTCAGTCTCTTCATTGTCTGTCATAAATTTAATCACCTTGTATAATAGTGCAATTAGAAACCACAACATATGTTAGCACATATATTATGAAAGCTCACGGTAGATCCTCCAGCCTTCCGGTGTAGACTTCCGGTATAGACTTCCGGTATAGACTTCCGGTATAGACTGTTGGTGTAGACTCCAGCCTTCTATCGCAGACCCATGGGCCTCCTGGTATGGACTCACACAGGACACTGCAGTAAGCTCAAGACCTTTGACTGGATCCTTTGGTTTCCACTGTGCAGACAAATGCTCTGCACTCTTCCGCATCTGACTCTGTGGGTGGCCCTTGTAAGCCAGTCCTATAAATTCTTATATGTTTGTACATCTTGTATTATAGCTGTTTCCCTAGTGCCACTGACTGGTACAGCTACCTAGCCTTTTCTCCTTATGTTTCCCTATGGCACCTTATGTCAAGTAATTTTTGCTCTGGATTCCTGCTACCTGTATATCGATTTTCTCAAGGAAGGTTTTTACAGTAAGGATTAGTTCTTGTTCAACTTTTGTTCTAACACTTATCACAGTATGTGGTGCCCAATAGGAGCCTGATACATATTTGTGGAAGAAATAATGAGTAAAGATTTATGGGTCCCTTGGGTTCAGAAATGCCTTGGCCAGCCATTTTGAGTTCCAATTTTCCTATGGGTGGCAAAACCTGCAAGCCCTTCTTAAGAGGGACTCTGTGTTAGCGTTATTGTTTAGTTTCATTTGGAAGAAGGCAGGAAGAATATTAGCAAAGCATGGGGTATTCTGGGGGGAGGAAATTAATACCAGAAATCTTGGATGTATGTTTGTCACTAACAGTGCCCTACATACAAGTGCCAGTCTTAGACTTTGTCTAAGCATCAGTAAGAGGTGAATACTTAACTGGAACAAGAGAGGCATGAAATAGTGAGAAATGGAATGGATTGAGGTGCTTGTGGATCTAGTTCTACCTGTATCTCTAGGACATTGTGTTTTACAGAGAATCTTTCTTGAACTCTAAAATAACCAAGGAAGTGAGAAGAGCCTTTTTCTCTGACAGCCAACATTCCTTTTGATATGTTCTGCAGTAATCAACTTTTTCTGAGTTTACCATATATTTTCTAATTCACATTTCAAACATTTTTATCTGGGCTATGATTATATTAGGAATTCATGATAAGTGAAACCATATTTCAGGAAATACTGTTTTTAAAAATGTTAAGGCATAGTTTCCACGTATTCTGCCCTTTCCCTTCATCACATGTCCCTTCTTCCTCTTTTGTGTCTCCTCACTGTCTTTGTTTTTCAAGGGAAATTGCATTTGGATAGTTTTGATTCATTCCCAGGTGATTAACAAAATATAATGTTGTGAGAATGACTTGATATTTAAACTGTGGATTCTTTAACATTAAGTCAAGGTGGACTGAGATTGATCACTTTGGACTCTGAAAGGGATTTGGTTTCATTAGAGGGCCCAGTGGGAGCAGGAGGAATCTCAGGCTTTCAGCAGTACTATGGTAGAAATGGGAAAGCTAAACCGGATGTATTGGATTGAGCCTCTTGTCTGAGGTTATGTCTTTTGACCCTAAAAATCAGAGATGCTGACATCATACTCTTTGCTTCGTCCAATTAGCTTTGTGCCGCACTTCTGGTTCTCTCTACAAAGTGGTCATTTCTCCTGTATTTTCCTGCTAAAGTCTTTTATGTTCCTTGATCATTGCTGCTATCTGGTCAGTGATTTATGAGTGACAGTAGCAGCCATATTCTGGTTCCTGGAATAGATAGTGTCATGTGAGTTTCTCCTGCCATTCTAAATAAGAATCAGAGACAGATTTTAAGCATAATGATACTTAGGAATGACAGGGGATTGTAATGGGAATAGAGATTCCATAGTAAATAATGAGTGTACTTAAGAAGGTTGAGGCCATGGAAAGTTTTTAGAGGCAAAAGGGAGAAATTTGTACAAACTACTTAGATACAAAGTTCACAGGTCTTGGGAACCAAGACAGGAGGTGACATCAGCTGATTGGTGAAAGTACCAGTTGCTGGTGTCAGCTGCATGAAGAGCATATTGTCTGAATACTTCTAATCTTAAAGAAGATCAAAGATAAACTTACACAAATCTGCATAGATGGGAGTCGTGCACAGTTTAGGGTGTATAGAAGGGTGCATCTCTTCTGGGCCTTTAGATCATGTTTAAGAAAATTCTTATCTCAGACAGGTGGGCAGAAGTCCTCCCTATTCCTAACTCTGTCACTGTGGTTTTGTCAGTCTGAGCAGTAGGATTTCATCTTAGTGTCATGAACTTTCACACCCTTTTTCACACCCTTTTTCATGTAGTTGTTCATGACACCTGCCACTGAGGAAAGAAGCAAGGCTGTCAAGAAGCCTGTTTTATTTATGTTTAATCATCAAGAAAACCCTCAACTGGGGCTGGGGATTTAGCTCAGTGGCACAGCGCCTGCCTGGCAAGCGCAAGGTCATGAGTTCAGTTCCCGGTACTGGAAAAAAAACCAAAAAAAAAAGAAAAGAGGAGAAGAAAACCCTCAATCTCCTCCAGATCTTAGTAGAAGACCATCAGTGTCCAAACAAATTGGGAAAACTATTGCACTCAAGCTCACAGGAAATGAATGCCCCTCTCCAGTGGGCTGCCAGGAACTGCTCAACAGGGCCCCACTGTTAGCCCTCCTCTGTCCAGTGGCCTGCCAGGCAGGCTTCCTATGCTGGCTGCCCAGAGAGCACATCTGTAACTCCAAGCTGTTTTCTACCTTATCCTCGCACTCTGGCAACCAAAGCAAAATGGAAGGGCTTATTAGCATGCAAAGGACCAGTTCTGTCACATGAAAGACTTTAGAAGAGACATAGTGCTTCTGACTAGTTGTTCCAATGAGGGGAGACAATGTAGGAAGTTCAACTCTAAGACGTTTATCTAGAGTAAGTTTCCAGTCCTGTCTGTGCACTTTGAGTTAAATTCCTCCTTGCTTAAGAGACTTAATTTGGGTTTGATTTTCTTTGCAAATAATTTCTGCTTCAGTTTAAGTCAATAGAAATACCTTATCTCTTTTAATATTTTTTCATATTTTATCTATATTTCATCCAAGCTTGGAAACATTGAAAAGCATTTTAACTGTAGCATATTGATTTTTTTTTTGCCAGTAGAAAACATGATTTGGGAAGAAATATTACTACCTCTGTGGTTTGACCTGTGATTTCTAAGTTTTTAGGAATATTGGCATTTTACCTGTAGCTTAATTTTTGTTTGGACATGAGGATGCTGCTCCCCCACAAGTGTGTTACAGCATATATCAAATTTTTCTTCAACTAAAATAAATTTAATTTTTATTATAATTTTTTTTCCATTTAGGTGAGGTAGAAGATTGTCAGACTGTAGTCCAGTCCAACTGATGCTTTAGCTAGCTCCTTGATTTTAATCACTTTACCCCTCCTGGCTTCAATGTCTATGTATCAAGTCTGCTTGAGGATGTCTTGCCCTCAGATTGCAGTGGAAAAACAACGAGATAATATATGTGAGCATCCTGGAAAAGTTACAGGTTCTGTGGAAACCAGTGTAAGCTATATTCACATTTATTTAGTTACATTTTAAACACATATGGTATCCTACAATTTATCATTTCACAATCTATCACAATTTATTTCCAAGTGTGTCTGGCTGTGGAGTACAGAAATAAAACTTGTCCAAACTAACAACTTGTTTGAAACTTTGAGATACATGTTTAATTCCATGTTTTAAATTACAGTGATTCAAATCATAGTGGTTATAAAGGTCCAGTGAAGAGCTAGTAAAAGGCACAAATAATAGAGAATTTACTAATTAAATGCTAGGAAAGTGAGAAAGACTGAATGTAAAGACCGGATTTGAGTGTTAAGGATGTGTTCTCTTTCCGTACAGTATTGTCAGGTGATAGATTGACACACAAATTTGTAGAATACAGAATTAGTGACTGCTTTTCTTCACCTCATTTTAGGAACAAATGATGAAAAATTGTTTCAACTTCAAATCCTGCTCTAAGATTCAGTTATTATTTGTTTACTGCCTTGGAAAAAACTCTCCTTCAAAGAGTGTGAGGTTGTCAGACTGAAAACATTGCAAGTCAGCTGGGAAGGCTGGGGGAGGGGAAGGACTGGGAAGAGCTCTTTCACCTCAGGACCCTCCACAGTCATCACTTCTGTCTCCTTCTCTTCACTTTCTCAACATCTATTGCTCTTTGCTCCTAGGGAGAAGCCTCCAGTGGAGGATCTTCACTGAAAATCTACCCTGAAGAAGTGAGTTTCAAGGTGGCCTTGTAAGCATAGCCCGAAATCAGTGGAAAACTCAATTTGGCCTTTCTACACTTACCTGTAGGACTCCTAAGCCATATATAATCCCTGGTCATGCCCACAAAAGTAACATGTCATCAAAGTAATTTTGGTTCCTCATTGGTAGAGATACTGTATCAATTCAGTCACCCTGAAAAACAAGGTAAAACCTCATGAACTTGATGCTGTTATACATTTTGATTTACAAGCATTTGTTGATAGCCTAATAAAAAAGCACATGTTTTATAGCAAGCATGAGCAAAAGTAGAACAGACAATCATTGTTATTACTTAATGGACAATCTAATACCAGATGGGTATTCATGCATGTGGTAAATGCTGATCACAGTGCTGTACGGCAAGTTATTGTGCCGAATCCTGTCTCAGTTAATTTAAATATATGGTATAATTCTTTTGCAAAACCCTTTAGATTCTCAGGCTATTTGCTGAAGATAGTAAAGGGTGTTTTATGTCATTTGACTGTGCAAAGTATTTTAGAACTTTCAGGAAAACCAGTGGACAGAGGCTCCAGGACTTGACCTGAAGCCAAACCACAGTGGTGACTAAATGAGCGTGTGAATCTGCTGCAGGTGAAGGGAGTGGGAAACAGCTTCGTTACAGCAGTACCAAATATTTGGTTTGGATGTTACTTCTCAGCATGATAGTATATGTTTCTGTAATTATTCCTGCACATACAAAGCCATCCAAAAGCTGTCCTGTGCCTCCTGAATAGGCTACATATATTTATTCAGAACAGTGTACCAATACTTTACCTTGCTTCCAAGTATCAGTTAGGGAAAATTAGAGTCCATAACAGCCTCTTAAGGTTCACATACTTATTAGAGGTGACTAAAGCTTTGCCAAAGCATATGGAGAAGGATAGAAAAGAACTAGATAGATGTTTGATAGGATAGAAAAGAACTAGGTAGATGTTAGAGAAGTCAAAATACTTGCATATGGAGAAAAAAACATTTATAAGATGGGAAATCAACACTAACTTTAAACTCCATGAACACAGTGCAGAGATTAAGGAGAATACATTAAAATAATTAATGTTGTCCCAAACTAGGAAGACACTAACAGAGAGTCAAGGTAGCCACCAGCAGAGTCTCCCGGTAAGATTCTGGGGTTGCCTAAGCTCTGGGCTCAGCATTCTCTACATTTTTTGTGGAGCTGGAGTTGGTGGGCCTTGTAGAATGTGTCCCAATACCTTTTGTAATATGCCCTGCCTAGTTCTAACTGGGGAGCAAAGAGAGTACTAAGGCACTGGTACCCCCTTACTCCTTAGAAAGTGGGTAGTATACTGATGATAGAAACATTAGAATGGATATTGTACTAATTGTGAAGTTCTTGTCTTTGCAGTTCGCTGTTTTCTTTGTAATCACCAATGTTTAATGTATGTGTTCATATTGTATAGAAATGTAGCTGCTGAATGAGGCAAGAAGGTTGAGAGTTTGTGCCTTCTCACTGGGAGTGCTTGAGGCCTTGCTCCTCAACAGATGGTCCTCAGGCCACAGAATCAATATTATCTCAGAATTAGTACTGAATATAAAACCTGAGACCTTGCTGAGCCTGAAGGAATTAAATCTTTATCCTGGCCTGATCTCCATGTGGTTCATGAACACAGCTACGTGCTAAGAAGTACTGCTGTAAAGTGTTCTTCCCAATATCATTTCTAGACACGAACTGCACATATCCCAGTAAATTCCAATTTTTGTCAACTGTTGGTGACGAAGACAGCTTTGCCAATAAATTGATAAGTCCTGCTTACTCATATAACTCTCAGTAATGTTTTATTTTGTTTATTGGAGGAATAAAATCTTCCAGTGCATCATATTCATTGTAGATTTCCAGGTCTAGGTTTGCAAGTATATGTGAACTGCCCAGCGTAAACCATGCATCCCTTTGGGGTTTAATATTACATAGTACTTTCACCTATCATTGATTGGTACTTATATATTAACTCTTTCTTAAACGAATAAATGATCTTCGTTTACATTAAAACTGTAAGTATGACTTTGATTAGTGAATTATTAGCATTAATAGTTTCTTTCTGCAGACTTTTATCCATTTGATCCTTAGGAAATTTACATTCAAATTTTTCTCCATTGGGAGCGTATTTAGAATATGAACATAAAATTATATTATTTTGTTTTTTTCTCATACTTTTATTTCACTTTTACCCTTTTTCTTCATGTTTGGATCAGTAAACAATAAAGAACAATATCTGCAAATGTTGGGAGCACTGAAGTTAAACTGAACTAGCAAATATTTTTTATTTAGTATACTCTAAAACTGAAATAAACCATAATGTTTACACTTTATGTGTTTAACATGTTTGCTAAAGATTGAAGGACTCTGCAGATAAAAATCTCTGAGGTTTTTTTCACACAGTCCTTTAATGGGACAGAATCATAACCACATGACAGAAGACAATTTTGTTTAGAAGTAAACCAAAACTAAAGAAACAATATAGTTTCTCTTAAAAGTAAAGATAAAATGTAAGTTTTACTCTGTTTTTCTATTTTCTAGTGTTTTGTTTTTTCAGACTAGTATTTGTATATTTGATCAAATAAAAAGAGATATTTTAGATAATTTACTTTTCTTACTCCTGAAAATAGCTCAAAGTAAAATTTTTAAAAAATATATGCTCCTAACCTATAAGGCACTTTATAAATCTAAGTTAAGCTAATTTTGTATCATAGCAGTTTTAGCTTTTAGAATAACAAAATTAATGTTCCTTGGAATGTATAGAATGGAATGTATAGAATGGAAAATAACTTATAAAAATACAAATAGCTCTCATCTATATAAATGCAAATTCCACACATTAGAATGGGATTAATTATCATCATGTGGTTATTCATTCAGTTTTGCCAGTTTTTGTGCTGTTTGTAAAATAATTTCAGCATCCCTCCCCTATGTATGTGTGAGTTTGAATTCCCCTCTGAATTCGAGTGCTTCCAAATCTTGATTGTCATACTTTTGTAGAGAAAATAATCCATTTAAAATATCACATTGTTCAAATGAAAAATTGGGAATCAATATAATGCATTGATTAAAAATCTTCTAATCATCAACAAGATGTAATGTGATGTAAGTATATGTATACTAGATAAACATTATCAACTTAAAGATTAAGAAATCATAAAGAACTAAAGATTGAAGTGATTTTTTTAAGATTTTTAGGAAGCAATGTAAGGAAATCCCTCACAACTTTAAAAAGTTAGTTGGTGAGGCCAAAACACACACAGGACCGTGAACTCACTAAGGGTGTTAAGTGGACACTTCACCATCTGTGAGGATGTCAGCCAGGAAAAGCAACACGGAATGCAGGCGGGCCTTTTCCATATCTGCTGAGGTAGCCTTTGCCAGCTGTACCATCTGAGCTGGAAAGGGATCAATTTCATGCAAAACCAAAAAAACCCCTCAGAATCATTTCTTATGCCTGTCTTATTTCTCTTGTGTTTTATTCTGAGATGTCTAATATAATGAAATTCCAATTGCATTCCTGATGGAGAGTGCATGATATTGTCATCTAGAGTAGATGAAAAGGTAAATTTCTTTTTATCCTTACAGGGATTTACTTTTGAAATATTTAAAATAGCTTTCACTTATGGTCAAAATTTTATTCTATATAGGAAATAGGACTTTTTTTTTTTTTCTTTTCAGGAAAATCCTATCTGACCATTAACGTTCATTAAGAAGGATATATTCTGTAAAATAATAATTTTTATTTGTTTTGGTTTTTTTTGAGACATGGTCTCCCTACATAGTTCAGGCTGGCCTTGAGCTCACTTTGTAGCCCAGGCTGGTCTTAAACCCTCAACGATCCTCCTGCCTCAGCCTCCCAAGTGCTGGGATTACAGGCGTGTGCCACCAAGTCCGCCTCAATAATTTTTAAGAAGTTAAAATTGTGACTTTCATGTAGAAATGCAATGAATATGTCAAAAGCTTATAAAACTGAGAAACTAATGAGGGAATAAGATGCTATAAATGGTTCAAAGGGGAATTCAAACTCTCACATACATAGTCAGGTGAAGGATGCTGAAATTATTTTATAAGCAGATACAAAAACTGGCAAAACTGAATAAATAACCACATGATGATAATTAACCCCATTCTAATGTGCAGAATTTGCATTTATATAGATGAGTCATTTGCATTTTTTATAATTTTCTACCAATCACATGTGTGTAGAATAGTTAAAGTCAGTGAAAGATTTGAAGCTTCTGTAGAATCTGGTAACTGGAAGGTCTGCTAGAAAATAACGTTTTTTATTCACTATGCCCAATAAACTGTTGTTGTTTTTAAAGTCTTCTGCAACTTTACACTATAGTTTCCTTGGAAAGAAAAGCCATCAAATAGAATCTGTTATGTTACCAAATGAGATGGAATTTAATTCTATGCATAGTGTAGTGCCCTACAACAAATTTAGCATGTAAATTTATGTAAGGAGTTTGCACTTATTTGAAATATTTCTCTACAATCTATCATATTTTTTTCAAAATACCATATTATGTCATCTCGTTTCCTTTTCCCAGATCTTATTCATTCAAACGTGTATCACCTAAACTTAGCTAACCCTTTTTTTTAAAGAAATTAACAATGATTGCTGTATTACATATTGTTATCTTCAAATTGTCTACTCAGTTAAACAAATGTAGGCATGTAAGACTGATCAAACAATTAAACATTAACTGTTCCTTTCCATAAAGCAATAGAAATCAGTAGTAAAATTATCTCAGCTATCTTGTGTATACATATATACATATTTTCCCCTTCTTTTTTTTCTGTTTTCCCTCATTTCAGTTGTTCTTTTTTTTTTTTTTTTTTTCAGTTGTTCTTTTTTTTTTTCGGTACCAGGAATTGAACTTACGACCTTGAGCTTGCCAGGCAGGTGCTGTGCCACTGAGCTAAATCCCCAGCCCCTTCATCTCACTTGTGCTATCCTTTTGAGCAGCTTCT